GGGTGGGGGCATTAGGTCCCCCCTTATTAGTATTTAGGGCCCCCACCCACCGCTCAGGGGTTGGGGCCAGGGGGAGGACATTAGGTCCCCCCCCTTATTTTACTGTAGGGCCCCCCCTTCAGGTTTGAAGCCCTGACTCGCGCAGAGGTGGGGGCCATGGGGGAGGAGATTAGGTCCCCCCCTTATTAGTATTTAGGGCCCCCACCCACTGCTCAGGGGTGGGGGCCAGGGGGGAGGACATTAGGCCCACCCCTTATTAGTATTTAGGGCCCCCACCCACTGCTTAGGGGTGGGGGCCAGGGGGGAGGACCCTTATTAGTATTTAGGGCCCCCACCCACCGCTCAGGGGTGGGGGCCAGGGAGGAGGACATTAGGTCCCCCCCTTATTTTACTGTAGGGCCCCCCCCCCCTTTAGGTTTGAAGCCCCGACTCGCGCAGCATGGGTGGGGGCCCAGGGGGGGAGGACTTTTTTTGTTTTTTTTAAGTGAGAAGCTATAGGCTGCTCACTGTTTAATGGACATGTCCCTACTCACAGTATAGCGAGTAGGGGCATAATTTACTAATACTAAGTAATCTTTACTTAGTATTAGTAAATTTGGCTGAAAGACCAATTTAGGTCTTTCAGCCTTTTAGTAGATAACTCCCTAATTCGCATAGTATTTGGGAGCTATCTACTTATTCATTCCTGTCATTACACTGACTGGCAAAGTAACTAACATTTTATATGAATGTATGTTACTTGATTGTTCTAATTGTTACAAATGCTTACAGCTAAATCCTGGCTATGTTTGTATACTTTTTATTTAAAATTGTGTACAGTGTAACATTCTTTCACTGGGTAAGTATATTAGTTCTTAGGCAATACTGTGCTTCGACACTTCAGAAACTTCGGGACTTCAACCATTTGGCAATTCATCTATTCGAACACTTGGAATTGCCCGAAATTTGTCCGAATTCACATTCGGACCAAAACAAATTGCACATTTCTACTATTTGATATGAAATTAAAGCTCTGTTTTCCCTGGACAAAATGATATATAGTAAGTGTGGGTGTACTTAATATGAAAGAGGTAAATTATGGTTCAACAGACATCTAGTGCAAATTCCAGGTTTTGTTTATGTTAAAACTGACTCAGTCCTTAACCCCTTAAGGACACAGCTTCAAAAGCTTGTCTTGTACCTAATGACACAAGCAAATTTGCATTTTTTTTTTTTTTGCATTCAACTGCAATTAACATTTTACAAATTTAGTGCACAACACATATTATATACTGTCTTCTGAGTAAAAGGATACCACCAATGAATGTCTTTGGCACGGTTTCTTGAAGTTAGAGTGCTATATAGGAGACCTGTCCATTTCAGTATTTACAATAGAATTTTGAGAGATGGATTTGATGGGCATATGTTTTAATCTGGGGTATTATAGCAGTTTGACAGTTCAAAAAAAAACAAAAAACATAAAGGCATACCATTTGTAAAAGTTGACACTTCAGGGTATCTCATATGGTGCAAATTGTGCCTTAACATGCCCCCATTTATTCACCAATATGTGGTATACATTTTTTACTTACCATAAATTTATTTTTCCAGAATATTACAGGCAGTGCTTTACAACTCGGATTTCATCACTTGGAGGGAAAAAACAGGCAGGCAATCTCCCAAACTTTTCAAGAACCTCCCCCAATTAACCTTTGGCCTTATAAATTGCTTCCTACCCAAGACATCCACAGAAATTACAAAAGCCGAATAACCGTACCACTCAGACTATGAACAAATCTGGGGGGGTGGGGGGGGAGTGAGTACTGCCTCTAATCTTCTGGAAAAATAAATTTATGGTAAGTAAAAATTTTTGTTTTTCCCTTCAGATTAGAGGCAGTGCTTTACAACTGGGATATCCAAAAGCAATCCCTTAGGGCGGGACTCAATTCTCACTGCAAAAAAAACCTGCGACCAAAGTTGTATCTTCCAAGATCAACAGATCAAATTGAGTTAAGAGATCACCTTGTGGCTGTTAGGAAATAGAGAGAATGTATAGCAGAAGCCCTCAGGCAACCGATCTGAACATAACTGATCGAAGGAGCTTCAATGGAGATAAACAAACAAAAAAAAAGAATGCAGACCTTTAAGGTAATGTAAATGAGAACTAAACGCCCAGGCAGTGGAATTAGAATTCCAAGACCCTAGAATGCTGTTGGTAAAAGTTAGAAAAATAATGTTAGATGGAAGATTGAGAAGAATTAAAGAATCCAACTTAACTCCACTTTCTCCTGCTGAAAATGGCAACTTGAAGTTCTTCCCAAAAATATTTTGGGTGACTACCCCCAAAGACCTATAGTGAAGACTCAAATCAGCAGATTAAAAAAACAAAACAAAAGAAGATCCCCTGTGGAAAAGATTCCATGAAGATAGGAACTAACCATGAAAGAGCCTAGCAGATACTGGTGATTTGGAGACAAACCTCTGAAAATCAATTGATAACCGAAATTTTACCTTGAGGATTTCTGGCTTTAAACCATCTGCAAAGCCCATCCAAAGAAAAAACAAGATATTAAAACTTGGAAGCAGATGCCTGCTTTTCTATGAACCAATATCTTAAAAAAACAACACCTTCCATACTTGAAATAAATTTTGGAACAAGATCCATTTATAGTAAAATAAATTGTCAATAATTTCCTGAGACCCCCAGCTGAAAAACAGACTGCCTTTTTAGAAACTGATATCAGGTGAAACTAGTTGAGGTGGTGAGAATGCTAATTGCAACAGAGCTTTGTCTACAGCAATTGCTAAAAGCCTACTGCAAGTTTAAGAAACTGCGGCTAGGATCCTGGCATTTAAAGAATCCATCTGCTACAACAGTATATTAACTTAATCAAAACCAGATTTTAAATATAAGCCTCCTAAGGATAACATACAGAGGATAATTCTCTAATAGTCATACGGGTCTTGCTCTTGTGAATATATTCCACCACACACTTCACTTTAATTGCTGACCCTGTTGCAGCAATTAGTGATTATTGTAACCCATATTAACTAATCACTGTGTAGCAGCTATTTTGAGCCAGAAAGGAAACTTAAATTTTCCAAATAGAATTATGTAAAAGTATATGCTATCTAATACACTTTATAGGCTTTACTCAAAGAATAATCTATTTTGGGCCCAATCTACTACAGTATATACTCGAGTATAAGTCTAGTTTTTCAGCACATTTTTTGTGCTTAAAAACCCGCACTCGACTTATACTCGAGTCACTGTCTGTATTATGGCAACTTAGAGAGCCGCGGCCGCCAGAGCCGTGGCAACAATCCGCTCGGCAACCAGACCGCAAGACTTACAGTGGAGCTGACCGGAACGGAGGAGAAGGGAGCTAACAGGAGCTGCAAGAAAGGTAAGTAAATGCTTCCTGCCGGCCCCCCCACTTCACAGCCCATGCCACTGGACCACCAGGGATTAAGATAGCCCCCCTCCCTGACCGGTTAACAAGCAGGGAGGGGGGACAAAAAAAAATTTAAATAATAAAAATGCCCTCCCCCCACCCAGTTCACACACACTACACAAACACACACTCTTTATTATATACACACTCTGCATTATATACACAGAGTGTGTGTATATAATGCAGTGTGTGTTTGTATGAGTGTGTGTGTGTATATAATGCAGAATGTGTGTTTGTATGAGTGTGTGTATATATAATGCAGAGTGTGTGTTTGTATGAGTGTGTGTATATATAATGCAGAGTGTGTGTTTGTATGAGTGTGTGTGTATATAATTATAAAAATCACAGAATTTCATAGCCCCAAGTTTTACCCTCGACTTATCCACGAGGCATAGCTTATTTCACAATTGTTGGTCACAAAACTGCACTCGACTTATACATGAGATCGACTTATACACGAGTATATACGGTAAGTGCTTACCCTTTCAAAGCACTATTTGTTTTAAGATTTTAGTAATAATCTTTAAGTGATGAGAAGCTAAAAACTCTCCAACTTAGAAACATTTGCACTTTTTTAGCTTATCCATCTTGCAGCATAGATAATTAACTTATTCAGGCTAGAGTCATTTAAGATAAAGCAAAAAGGCTTACCTTAAATGTCCTCAGAGTGTGTTGGAGTTTGGCGAGAACACACTTGCAACAGATTCTGAGTGCCCCTGGCAACAGTTAGTTGCTGCTGGGTAAACAGCCTCTCTAAGTCCTGGAAACCAATATCTTGACCCCAGAGAGAAAAAATAATAAAGATATTGGCGCCTGAATTTTAAATCGCATTACGCATGTCCTGCATTTTGCGATTCCACAGTGGAAATAAACGTAACCTGTACAAGTGTTCTACCGCCAGGACTTCCCAGCTAGTGCCCAAATGTGCACCATCGTCTGCCCGGCACCTGGCTCGGTATGGACGGAAGTAATACAACCCGGGGAGATACAGCAGTCTGGTGTGTTATCCCTGGCTGATCTCTGAAAAATTTATTTAAAAGAAGTAGAGCCTCCAAAGCCTCAGCTCTCTCACCTGAACCTGAACCTGACACCCTCCTCTGCCGGAGGCAGGTAAAGAACTGGGGATGTCTTGGGTAGGAAGCAATTTATAAGGCCAAAGGTTAATTGGGGGAGATTCTTGAAAAGTTTGGGAGATTGTCTGCCTGTTTTTTCCCTCCAGGTGATGAAATCCCAGTTGTAAAGCACTGCCTCTAATCTGAAGGGAAAAATAATTTTTGGCATTTTTTACATGCGTATTACATTTTTGCTGGGCATTATGTATATTTGATATGTGCCACTATGATCAAAGCCCAAGAATTATGCTCAGCTAAGTCTTTTGAGTAAAATGATATCCCCCAATGAATGTCTTTGGCACTATTTTGTGAAGCTACAGTGCCATATTGGAGACCTGTCTGTTTCAGTATATACAGTAGAATTTTGAGAGATGGATTTGATGGGCCCATGTTTCAATTTGTGGTATTATAGCAGTTTGACTTTTCAAACAAAATGCCCACAAAGGCTTACCATTTATAAAAGTAGACACCCCAGGGTATTTCAAAAGGCATATTTTAAACCTTAGCATAGCACTGCGACCCTGCGAGTGCGTTCACCATGGATGGTGGTTAGGATGAACACTTTAGTGCAATACTTTAGTGACAACAGTTCATTCTGGCAGAGAGCTGCTATTCCCCCCCTTATTTATTTTTTCTGCTAGAGGGATACAAGTGATATCCCTTGTCTAGACACGGCATGATTAGGTCCCAGACAATTTTCCCACTTGTCCCTACTATATCTGGGCAACCTGGGGGTCAAGGTGGCTATCCCTTCCTTCATATACATAGCTACTGCCACTTTCACACAATTTATAAAATTTAATCTCATATCTTTTGGATGGGATGTACTGTTTAAACCCCAGTCTTACCTTATACTTCATGAGGGATTCATCAATAGAAATATGTTTTTTGGGGGTATAAATAGTGGCACTTTTTTGTTAAAGTGGGCAATTAGAGGGCATATTTTATATAGAAGATCATACTGCGGATGACCTTTTGGGGGGTACTTCGTATTGTCACTAAAGTGCATAAATCACAGTATGTCTTCATATCTGTCCCTACTCATGGTCTGGGAAAAAAATGGGGGTATTGCTAATGTTTTTTTAGACCAATACATTTTAATTGTGGACTTTTTAAGTATCCCCATTAGCATTGTCAGTGCCCAGAATTGTTTCAATTCTGGCACACTGGTTAGGTTCCATCTCTCTTTTTCTGGCGATAAGAGACTCTTGATTGTGTGCCAGATACTGTTCAACGTACAGATTAGTCTGGGTAAGTAGTAATGTGAAAGACGGTTCAGGTCTGAGCGGGAGCAGTGTGTAATGTACATTTATGTATAACCAGTAAATAACTGCGGAGTTGCCATCATCAGGATCGTTAATAATGAGTTGCAGTGGTAATGTGCACATAAGCAGACACAAGTAGAATATAAAGGCTTAAATCAAAGGAGAAACGAAAACATAATTTAGCAACTTTAATATTTAAAAAAAAAAATATATATTTTCACGATGTCCACAATTCCACAATTCCCACTAATTTCCACCCATCCCAACTAACTAAATCACAAATTAATAAAATTAAATATTAAAATATAACCCCTTAGGGTTACTAAAAAATCTAATTTAACCCCTGTGGGTAAAAAAAAAAAAAATAGATCATAGTAAAGTACTGTGATCTGTATTTTGATCACTGCTGGCTGTGATCAATCAGCAGGGAAAGGGTTAATTAAAAAATAAAAAATAAAATAACAGGGTTAAGGGGACTTGGAACCTCTTCAGACAATTTATTCACTTCAGGGACACAATGTAACAATGATCAGTCTTTCTCCACTTCAAAAAGCCGCAAGAGGTGCAGGGAGGTGGATCTCATATCCCAGCAGCATTGTGACCGCTGTGACTAGCTGTCACAGCAATCACGTGGGCTGGGACATCGTGATTTGTTGTTGCTGGTCTGCCCATGACTCGGAGTCACTCAGCAACAGCATTAACCCCGTGATAGTCGGCACTGCAGAGATCTGGGGTTAATTTTTGCGCATGACGGACCATCCGGCGATAAGTGCTTCCCCAGCATGACGGACCTGGTCCGTCATCCGTTATTTAGGGGTTAAGGGGTTAAACCATAGTATTGCATAGTCTTTACTTTAAAATCCATCTAATATCAATTTGGCACGGTGTTTAATTTTGCCATCTCCCCTCCAATTATTTGGGTATGCTAGAAACGTGAGACCCTTTGAATTACAGTTATGTTTTATTTTTTTAATGTAAGTCTGTGTTTTTCATATTGACTTAATATATTGTATATGTTATTGTATATAATCACATAAATCAAATTTTTGGAGTGACAAGTGATTTATTGTTCAATTGTATGTTTCTTCATTTAATTGAGGATATTTACATTGTTTACAGGCCTTTTTGTGTGTTGCCTGTATTAACAAATGCTGTACAAGTACTGCAGCCATAAAAAACTTTTAGAATTATTAAGAAAAGTGTGTTTGGGGGATGGTTTTTGTGACAAACGCTCTTTTCCTCAGACATTTGCTACAAACTCCTGGAGGAGTATGGAACCTGGCCTCCTGCTGATCCACTATGGTCCAAATCTGAGACCCCGTTAGGGAGTTACTCTACCCAGCCACCATTAGCAGCTTTCAATAGGTGTCCCTGGTTTGGCATTTTTCCTTAATTCGAATAGAACCGAACACTAGCTCCCTGGCGGCCGTTCGCATAAACCAAACCCATGAATGGTCCTCAGCTGCGACCGCTATGGAACAAATTTCAGCATGAGGACTTTGTGGGTCCCTGGTCACCTCAATGGTACTTATCCGCAAATGTTATGGAACTATTTTTGGCATGAGGTGACCGTGCGGTTCCCGGACAACTTGGTGTTTTGCACCAGGAGAGCCAGGAGACCCAGAACCGGGGACCCGCTAGGAGAGCGCTTTTTTGGAGGGAAGGTGCCTGAGACTAAGGGGAACAAATGCTAACTTAAAGTCAGATGAAGCACCCTGTATTGTGGCCGCAGGAGCTCCGGAAAGTTGACCGGCAAAAACACCAAACGTTCTGCAACTTTTTTGGGCATAGGACTACGAGTGCGTTCGGTCAGAACTGTAACACAGTGGTATTTTCCCCTAAACTGCATGGACCTGAGAGCTATTTGTAGCATCAGGGCTATTTTGGGATGTATTATTTGTGGGGTTATTGTATATTTTTATAATGTTTTGGGGTATTTTTATGTTTTATGGTTTTGTGTTTGCATCTCTGTTCCTGGGAGATAATTAGCTTACCAGTCTTAAACAGTGCATAGTTACAATACAAGATGAGAGTAGTAATCACATTAGAGATGCAATATCACAAAAACAGATGTATAGCACATCTATATGTGGTACATACATGTTAACACAGGATTACATATCATACATCTGCAGTTCAGCATGCAATGCAATTTAAAATACTAACTAGTAGAATCAGATCCGGTCTGCAACAGAATTGAAAGATAAAACAAAAGGGGAGAAAAAGATAGATGAGAGAGGGACGAGGAAAGGGGTGGGGAATTACATGGCTCCTCCCAGGGGCTGATTGGTTCGTGGCTGAGCATTAAATAGTTATAATTAATTGATGGGCAGAATACTCTAGCCCTAATGAGTGGAGAAAATGGAGAGAATAGGGTCCAATTTGATAAGACCTTATATGTGAGTGTCAGGTAGAAGATCTCAACTAGTAAAAAAAAGTGAATAAATAGTTATAGGTGCAAAGCCCTAAACGTACCAGGAGATCTAATACCAAATCCTTCTATATAAAAAAATAAAATAAAATAAAATAAAGGAATAAATAAGATGAAATTAGATTAAAGGGGGAATTAGATAAACACTAATATAGGAAGTGGGTATAAAAAAGTAGATGCATAAAAAAAAAAAATTATGAATGGAAAGTAAAAAGCTGGTCTGATAAGAATAAATGTGGACATTAAAATAAGTGGAACCATAAGAGGAAAACGTGGAGGAAGGCAAACAAGAAATGGATCTGGAATTGCAACAATAATGTGTAACAGTAATATACAGTGATAACTGTAAAGTTATATACAGAAAAAATAAATAATGCAAACTAGGAATAAAAATACAGTACTAAAATTAGAGAGTCCAGTAAAAAGTCTATGAAGTGGAGTCAAAAAGCATCAATTAACAAAAAAAGCAGTCCAGTAAACTTGTGAAATCTGGAGTCCAAAAGCAGCATAGAGTCTATAGAAACACTGTTACAGCTGATACAGTATGCTTTTAGCCAAAAATGGTTGACAGCAGCCACAAT